GAGCTGCAGCAAGCCGCGCACGAGAGCGCGCACGCGCGCCCACAGCAAGTTGCGCATATTTTGCGCGCGGTTTCCGATCGAGCGAGCTGTAGCAAACCGCGCTACTGTAGTTGGCAAAGCGCATGCAATTGAGAAGACAACTGGAAGAGAGAGGAAGATGGATAGAAGACCCATCTTCCCCCGAACACAACGTACCCTCATCATGACTGTATCAGACTTGAAACATAGCTTGTATACATTCATTTTCAGGTTGCGCTGCGTCCGCGTGAAGACGGATAAACAAAGCTGGACGGACTCGAGGAAGATCAATAGGACGGTCGCCAAAAAAACAAACCAAACCAAACCAAACCAAAACAAAACAAAACAAAACGAAACAAAACAAAACATTGCGTCTTTGTTTTTTTTGCTCCCTTCATGCATATTATCCACTCTTCTTTCCTCCTCCCCTTTTTTTTKTMTTMAAAAAAAAAAAAAAAAAAAAAAAAACGGAAAAWKTGGAAAAACACGATTAMATAATGYRGATCTMMGWCGAGGTCCCGSTTSCWTGGAATRAGAGAYTCTGGCCRTTRGMTCTAATCCGCTATCCACAGRCAATACCTCTGTGTATGTTTTTGGTGAACGTTTTTCTTTCTTCCACGCAGTGTCTCTGAATTCTTGCAGACCGAACGGATCTCATAATCTGGGCCGTTTGATTAAGATCGAGTGTAGTACCTGTTCTGATGATCAGTTCAATATCTGATCCGTGGTCCATCGGGCCACATAAAGCAAAAAAAAAAAGAAAAAAGTATAGAGATGTGAGGATTTTGTTTTGACGTTATATCAATCTGATTCCATCGTGATTCGAACGGACGATCTGTTTGCATAACAATCACATACTGTATGTCACACGAGTCAGAAACACAGAAGCCACGTTTTTTCCCCCCCCCCTGAGAGAGAGAGAGTGTGTGCGTGGCAGGCACGTTTTTCTTTTTCCCCCTGTTTGGATAACAATCACATACTGTTTGGATAACAATCACATACATAATAAAGACAGGCACAGTCTGCATACCACAGAAATCGAAGAATCTGTACAGGTGCTCATAGACCGTTACTGACAGACTGGCGGCACACG